TCAGACCTTGGGGAAGGGGTTCAGCTTACTTGGTACTTTTCCTTCACATTCGAGGGTTCACCCTCCAATGATACATAAAGAAGCAGCGTTTTTACTATAAAGCATTTTGAGAACGGCTCTGATCTTGCAGGTGTTTGCCGAACGCGATATCCTTACGATGACTGACAACCCATTCGTAGTATCATTTTATGGCTCATTCGAAACGAAACATCATCTGTGTATGCTTATGGAATATGTCGAAGGTGGCGACTGTGCAGCGCTGCTCAAAAGTGCTGGCACACTGCCAATCGATTTAGCCAGGTAAGAAGGACTCTGCAGAGTGATTTCTCCTTCTAAATTCACATTGCTCTTTAAATCTCATTCATAAGTGAGAAGGATCAGAATGGGAGGCAATTTTTTTTGCTAACTTCCATGGAATAAAGGAAAAAGTCTTTGGGCGCTAATCAATCCTATCTGAGGGGTGCTCCCACGCATTCGACTTCCATTCAGAGCTGTAGTGACGTTATTAATGCGTATGTGGCCTATACAATGGCATGCGGGGGCTAGTCGATGTTGAGGTAGTGTGTTTATCCTCCCACGCGAGTGTGGTACCAATTAACTGTCCCCGAAGGGAGGGAAAGTTCAGTTGGCCTGAGCGGATATCAATCCAGGATTCTAACTCGTGAATATGTGTGTGTGAGATAAAGCGCCACGCGCCACTACACCTCTTCCCATTAGACTTCCATATATCGCTTTCATGATTTTGAAAAGTCGAATAGGCGACCCAAACGATATAACTTCAGTGGCTTATACGTGAATTAGGTTGTATACGTGTCGTTTATTTTAACCGTTTGCTTCTTCTGTATTCATATTTTGAACGACGGACATGGAAATTACAGCGAAAAGTTCATGTCTATAATGGGAGCAGCAGATCAGCTAGATGGGAAAAATATTACCTAATTGGTACGAAATTTTAGGTTGTATGTGGCGGAAACGGTCTTAGCTATAGAATATCTACACTCTTACGGGATTGTTCACAGGGACTTGAAACCGGATAAGTAAGTTGGTTATGAAATAAAGTTGTTATCCAAAGTTTCACTTTTCTGTTGTTTTGTTGACTATTCAGAGATGCGTAGCAGATTGCTCCAAAACTCCAGTAAAACCCTCATAGGAATGTTAAAGCGAGTCCAAATAATGGACCATGATCGACTTTCCCTTGATCTATGCATGAACTTTGATTTTTTTGTACATATACTGTCTTTTCCGAGCTGTTCTACGAACCGCTGAAGTATCGGGAGCTACCCTAGGTTCTGAGGAACAAGGTCCATTTATACATTACAGTTTTTGGCATACGGATACCCACGTGTAACTTGCCAAGCTGTGACATGGGACGGGACTCATTGATGAAAGGTGGCTCCGAATCACCCGTCTTTTGAAAACATGCTTTCGGCGGAGTCAACGTGCAAGATACCCACCGCAGCCGCAGGTACACGTATGCACAAGCGCTCCATCCCCTGAATTCACCTGCGTCGATAGGCAAGTACCGTGACTTTTGGTCCGCAATTAATCCCGTTGATGCCGCGCTACGTAGCCTCGTCACCAACAGACTAGAGATTATTCAGTGAGAGAAATTCTTAGTAAAGGAGATCAAATGATAGTAGATTACATTACTATGGTACCTCACAAACTAACCGTTTGATGGAGGTTTTTTTTTGAAAGTGTCTCGAATCAGTATGAGGCTTTCCGCTACTATTTTTCCTTGTTTACTCCTCTTTACTTCCAAGTCCATTCACTTTTATCAAGTTGCTTTTATTGTAGCCTGCTCATCACAGCTATGGGACACATCAAGTTGACCGACTTTGGGTTGTCGAAAATCGGTCTCATGAACCGAACCACCCTGGTAGCCGAAGGTTTCGAAAATGCAATCGATACACAGCAATTCAAAGACAAGCAGCTATGTGGTACACCTGAGTAGGTTACAGTTTTTTAGAATATTTAGTTCTCAGAGTTTCAGTAGAGTTATGTGTGTTTATGTTCAGGTACATCGCTCCTGAAGTAATTCTGCGCCAAGGTTACGGTAAACCGGTTGACTGGTGGGCATTGGGGGTAATTTTATACGAGTTTCTTGTCGGTTGCGTGCCATTTTTCGGTGATTCTCCGGAAGACCTATTTTCCAAAGTTATAACAGGTGCGGTATCAATTTCTAATGGCTCAGATACCAAAGAAAACAGTGTTTGTTTTTTTCAGAAGAAGTGGAGTACCCGGATGGCGATGAGGCACTACCGCGTGAAGCTGAGGATTTGATAAGACGTCTGCTCGAGAAGAATCCAATGGAACGCCTTGGTACTTTTATTCACTTGTATTAAAGATTATTGAGCGTGTATTAAAAATGTCTAGCGATTTGAATAACTAGCTAAAGCTTGAGTTACAAACGAAAAATGTTAAGAGCAACTATTTTTAAATGTCAAAGTTGAGTTGTTAATAGAAAGCTAATAACGCGCGCGCCACTTCACATCCGAGATCGGCTTGAAGCAGTGGCACAGTTCTCAAAATCAACGATGATTGGTCTGTGTGAACGCAGACATTCATCAGTTTGAAAAAGAGGAGCAGTCGCTAGAAAGTCACCAGTCAATTTCCACACAGATTTCTGCAGAAAACGGGGGACACCGATCTGGAAGAATAGCGTCCATCATCTATTTGTCACATGGTTCTTTTCCTACATTTGTCTAATGTGATTTAAGCCTCAACACGTGTTCTTATCCTCATACATTTCAATTGCTAGTGGAATTTTTGAGGTCTGCTACGTGTTCATATTGATACTGCACGGCATTCTCA